AAGAAGAAGAAGATAGATTGTCAATTGAATAATACTACTTGTACATAATTGAGTTAAGGGTTTATATATATGTGGTGTCAAAAAGAAAGTGAAGAATTTTTTTTTATTTGGTTGAAGAAATTTTGATCCACGCAAATCATTATATATATGTAGTATAATCATTGTTATTGCAGTTGCAGCATCGCCGAGTGGTGGAGGTTTAAATTTGATGGGATGGATTGAGGAAGAAGAATAATCAAATTTCACATTTTTCTTTGTCTATTATTATTGTTTATTTTTTTTTCTTATTTTCCTTTTTTAGTTTATTTAAATTAGAGGTAAAACTATCTTTTTATGTGACATTAATGGCAAAATAGATGGAAGTCATCAATAGGAAAGTTATGTGCGAATAAATAAAAAGTTGGAGACGGGGGGAGGGATAAAAAATTGAATAGGAATGGAATTACCACAAAATGGAAAGTTTGAGGACCCAAAGTGAAAATTTACTCAACATAATTCTCCTAATTTCAGAAAACAAGAAGTTGAGGTGCATTCCCTATTAATTCGGCCCAAGATAAACCTGTTTCATACTGATCTTAAGGCTGGCCCAAACAATTTGAGGCCCAAATAATTCGTTTCAACCTGATCATTCTTTCTAAACAATTTATTTATTTTTAGAGGAAATTACATAAAATCAGGTATTTAAGTTTTCAAATTCAAAAATCAGATCTAAAGTTTATTTAATAAAAAATCATGTATTAATTGGATTAATAATTATAGTAATTGGGTTAATAATTAAAACCCAAATGAAAACCTAATTTACTTCCATTCTCCTCTCATGGTCTCACCCATCTCTCTCTCTCTCTCTAAATACCGTCCTTCTCTGTAAACACTGTCTCCCTGGAAGAGAATATCCGGCGCATAGGTGTCACCACTGGAAGATGTGAGCGACGCGCTTTGTTCATTGCTCTACGCTCTATGAGGCGGCCCTCTGTTACACAGCGTCGATCTGAGCGTCGCTGTGAGCGTCGTTGCCTACGCTCACAACGGCGACTCACGGATTTGTGTGATTCTATGTGTGTGGAAGACGACATCAACGCTGATTTGTGTGATTCTCTGTGTGTGGAAGCCGATTGTGTTGGTGCGATGTGGTGGTGACAATAGTCGTTGGTGGGGTTGCGACGGTGACGATGGTCGTTTGTGTAGGTGGTGGAGGTGGCCGATTTGTGATGTATGTGTGATGCTTTGTTCGAGAAAAAAAATTTGTGTTTACGTGCAGAATATTTATTGTAATTGAAAATAAGTATATAGAAAAACGATTTTTTGAATAATGATTCTCAAATAATGGCTTAATCTCTAAGTACATGTCAAATGCAATGGCGAAAAAATTCTAGTAGCTGAATCTAGTTTTTCTTAAAAAATAAAATTTAATTTGTTTATTTTATTCATGCTAACATTTTGAAGTTTTCTAAGAGGTCGATTTCTATATTCTTTTAATTTAAATTTTCACTCAAAATGATGAATTGTTTATTGAAGTAAATGTCATGTCTCATAGATTAGTATATACGACTTTAATAGAAGCTACCGTCTCAAGTCTAGATTTATTTATTGTCCCAATTTGATTATCTAAATTTCAATTTTATGAAACAATCAGGTCGAGACAACAGATCTTTTCCCATCCAACTTATCGTTATTCGTTTACTTTCATCCAAGAGTTCAAACCGCTATGTTCTTAGTAAAAAACAGGTGGGCCCACCCACCGAAATTAGTGAGAATGATTGTCCCTAAAAACACTTTCCTTTTTCATCATTCTACTGTATAATAATGAAATTTTGTTGTTGTTTGCCTGCCTACGCACACCTCACCTCACCTCACCCAACCCCCGGAATAGTTTATAGAGAGAAGAAGAAGAAGAGAAGGGCAGTCTGGTTAATTAATTTAAGAAAAGTGGAAAAATTACTTGTATATTTGCTCTCTGTTTACTGGCGCTGCAGCCTTGTGCCGGTGCTGCCCGAATTATGTACAAGGGACTAAATGGTCATTAAACTTCGGTTAACTTTATATTTTCTATCACCATTAAGGTTTTTGTAATGTTGACACAAATTACCTATCAACAAGATTGGAATACGAATATCACAAGTCACGGGCTTTTGAAATTTGATAGGATTTGGGCTAATGCGATGTATATTTTTCCCCCGCTAGCTCACAATTTTTTTATTTTATTTTTTTTGCTATCGATGACATTATTCTTCCTTTCTTGGCTCCGGACGATTCGGCTTGCACGACAAAAATTCAGCTTGACTCGTCCCAAGGCTCACCTCTAGACGTGCTTGGGAATGGACGGATCTACAGTGGGGTCATCTGCCCTCACACTAAATCTTAAATTCAAAACTTTGCACAACATTTTCTAATATGGCACAAGGTTTTTAAAAAATTTCTTAATAGTTTTCAATTTTGCCCCCACAATTAAAATTTTGTGAAATTTGTCCCTACACTCTAAAATTCCAACTCCACCCAGTTGAACAGGCAAGCAGCTCATCCCACGTAACATTCCTAACTCAGCTCTTGTTTGATGATCATTATTTGAAATTTTTTTCTACATATTCATTTTCAACAAAACATTTAAAATATTCTATACGTAAATTCAAAAAAAAAAATTCTTACTTTTTATTCACATATTATCCTAAAAATCAGTATTCAAAACATTATTTTTTCCCAAAGAATGATTGTCAAACAAGGTGCCGAGACTTGGACTCAAAATTTTAGTTAGCTCCATGAATTTATTCTTCAACACAGAGAGTGAATATGTAACCTTCAATATTTTTGCGATATTGACTCCAGGTCTGACAGAATATTATGGCTAGGCAATGGCGTTAAACAGTTAATTTACATATGCAAGGAATCAAAATTCTCTGATAACAGACCTGCGTTTGCTGTCTTTGCTGTGGAGGTGGAGATAAAGAACAGAAGCCCTTCAAAATTTATGAAGGGTTTTTTATTGCACAAGCACAAAAATGAAATATATATGAAGACTGTGAAGAGATAGAATCCTACATCGAATAAAGATGTAAATATAAACCAACTTATAAAGGATTGAGTAACTCCTCTTAATAAGGCTAACATTTTAAGATGGAACCTTAATTCTTAACATGGTGTCGAGCCCATTAAACTCTAACGAGCAGCTCGATTAGATTAAAACTTCGGAAAGTGAGCATACGAATTTTAATATTGGTCTATTCAAACGAGCCACCATCTTGTAAGACATGTTAAAGGATAGAATCTCATATCGAATAAAGATCTAAACATAAACCAATTTTTAAAGGATTGTGTTACTCCTCTTAATAAGGTTGACCTTTTAAAATGGAACCTCAATTCTTAACAAAGACCATGTATGTATCTCAAGCACGTCTCATATGCAGTATGTGACAAGAGTAGAATATTTTGACTTATTTTCTTCTTTAGTATTGTATAAAACACGTTGCCAAACATGCAATAAATGCAATTTTTCTTTTCTTATTTTTTCAGATTTTAGAAGATTTTATATTTCTGGGGTCATTAAAGTCGTTAGGAAAAGGAAGATTTGCCTCAATCCATCGTCTCTTTAGAGTACAAGGCAAGTCATATTAATTTTTTCTTTGACAAAGGCTTGACACCTGTCATTACATTCGTCTACTTTGATGTCATGTCAAATTAGCCACTCGTCTAGCTAACAACTATTTAAGCTTTTAGGAAATATTGAAGAATTTTTGGCTATAACCTTATCTTGTAACGACTTAGATTTGTGCTCGATAATTGCTAATTAAATAACCACCTACCACTATTGCATTTTACGAAGTCACGGAGCAAAATTCTTTTTCCATGTGCAAACCACAAAAATCAAAAGCAAAAAGTAAGAAGTATATGAAAAGATCTTAAAATTTGAAGGAGAAGATGGAGAATTGCCTAATCAATTTATTGAGAATCTTACATGCATGGCTCAAAATATGCAAAGCAAAAGAAACTGTTTTGGGCCATAGGCTTCAAAGTGTACATGCAATCTTTATCCATCATCCATGTGCTTCTTTCCCTTTACTTTTCACTTTTGGTAAGGGCTTGTGAACACTGAAAGTCCCATAAAAAAGGGGGACAGCCACATAATGGGACAAAAATACACCTGCTTTGCACCAAGATTAATGCCAGAAAATCATCTACAAAATTATTAGCTATAATCCATTCTTTAGGCCTAAAAACTATATTACATGGTACGAAAATTGGATCCTACATCGAAAATATAGGATTTTAGTGGATGATTTATATAACTTTCTCGAGATTAATAACAGAAAACTGCATTTCGATTGTATTTGGCCCTGTTCGTGTAGGCCGATAACTGCATGAACTGTAAATCTTACATGTACTTTATTTCTACAAAGATCTACTTTGAATATTCAATTGTAGACAGGCTGAAAAGAAAAAAAGCATTTAAAAAGGAAAAGGAATATTCATTCAATCTCTGTCATGTTATTTTAATGAGGTATTGCACGATGGGGTATATGATTCCACGACATAAAACTGCAAATTTGCAGCATTTCAGTTGCACAACCCCCACCGCCACCGCCCAACCACCAATGAAAAAGGAAGCCGGATTAAAAGGAGCCGTTATAAAAGTATCTTGGGAAATGCTAAGACGCAGTTTTGTCATCTGCACATTTTCCCGTATAAGTTTTTTCCTTTTCTTTCTTGTCCTTTTCATCTGTTTTTCTTGATTACATTTCTCAAAACTAAGGATAAAAGGGTTTGCTCTGAATTTATAGAGATTGGGAAGAGCTTGCTTTCTTCATTGTGCTATATATTTCTCTCTTTGGACTCTCATTTCTGATTTGGGATTTCAAAACTCGTTAAGATGTTTAATTATGATTGAAGCAAATGAATTATGTTGTTACTTTTGTGAAGAATTCAGAAATTTTGGGGAAGAACTGTTATGGGGCTAAAGTGGAAAAGTGTATAAATTTGTGAATTGGGTTTTCGGATTCTGAGTGCAAAAAATGGGTGTAACGAATTCAAAAGCCGAGAGAACTGATGCTCTGAGATTATGCAAAGAAAGGAAAAGATTCCTCAAACAAACCATTGATTCAAGATGTGCTTTAGCAGCTGCACACATTTCATATGTTCAATCTCTGAGAAACTTAGGTATTGCTTTTAGGAAATATGCTGAGGCTGAGATTTTAATAGAGCCCTCTCTATCCTTTTCAGCCATTGATCCTGATAAAACTTCTTCACATTCGACACATCCGTCGCCCTCGCCATCGCTCGTTGGCAATGTATCTGGTACTCTAGTCGTCCATGAGAGTCCCCTTTCACAGCCTATGGCTCGAGTTAGTTACATGAGATCGGGAGGGGGTAGTGCTTTGACTGTTAGAGTGAGTCCACCGCCTAGGAATATGTATGTGGAGGAGGGTGAATTTTCAATGCCACCACCTCCACCACCATGTCCAGAGTCAGAATCTTCTTGGGATTTCTTTAACACAGTTGATGAATGTGAGAACTTCAGGTTTGGAGGACTGAATTCGAACCTTGATGATGTGATGATGTATGAAGATTTTGGTGAAACTAGTAGGACTCCAAAATTAGAGACTTCAAAAAATGGACCGGGCAAATTGGTAGTATACAATGCTAGTTCAGCTGCACCTGAAAACACAGAAAATAGTGAACGAAAAGTGAATGAATCGGATGGAAATGCGGTGAGGAATGCATCTTTAGTACAATATAATTTGAAGAGAAATAAATCTCCTTTAGAAAAGGATATAAGTGCTGATACGGAGGTTCCTTTGGAGTTTGTAACACCCAGGGCTAAGGATTTTCTGTCTAGCATAAAAGACATTGATAACCAGTTCTTTAAAGCATCTGAATCTGGGAAGGAGGTCTTGAGAATGCTCGAGTCGAACAAAATCAGGGTTGGATATACTGAATCCAGAGGTACTAATTTCTTGAATATTGGAGAAATACATCATGTAATTTTGACTTGAGAAACTGGACTCATTCCCTTGTGGTCTATTGACATGCAATTATATCTTATAGGTAAATTACGAGCCTCATTTTATTTGACCTCTTTTGGAGCAGTTTGTTGCCAAGGAAGAAATGTAAATGTCTTCGATGGTATGTAGACTGGAACTGATCACCATTTCACTATATTTTGATGATTATTTAATTATGTTTAGGCACATATGTTACTGAAGTTTGGATTTGAGCATTTGCTATTTTCATAACCAAGAAATTGCTGTCTGTTATACTTGTGTTTAAGACTGGGTACTTTAATTTTGTGAACCGGCTTCTTAGGCAGTATTTGGTCCCGAGTTCCACAAATTGTCATCCTCAATTCCATTCCAAATCCCTCATGTTGTGTATAGTCCATTCAAGGAGTTGCCATTTATGACCCCATTCCATTATCAAAAAAGTACATATCTTCATTACATCCTCCTTCCACGGGACTGCCCGTTCCAACCTTGTTAGTGATCAAGATCATGATTTTTATCCACAAACAATAAGAATAACACGTGAAGTGAAGCCTTATTCCTAACGAACTTAAGATTTGGCTACAAAAGGTTCATTTTTGCCGACAAGTTTGATCGATCCTTATTCCTAATTGACGATCAAATTGCGCGATTCTCCTCCTGTGGATCAATGTTCTGTTCAATCTCTCTTTTTCCTTTTTCTTGTCGCTTGCTTGATCTCCATATATAGTTTTAGGTGTGTAGTTAGATATGTGGAGCCTAACTTAGTCGCCCAAATATTTTCCTCCTACATAAAGGGCCAGCCTCCAGATTATATGCCATAGTAGAGAGAAAACACATTGAGGGGAGAGTCCAAAACAATTGTAGTTCTCTTCAATTCTGCAATGGCACTGGGTGCAGTAGTTCTTGCATTGAGGGTAAAGCACCTTAAGTCACGTGTTATTCTTGCTTTTGATTTTCCTTATTTCACGGTATCAATTGCTCCCACCCCCGGTTATGTGGATTATTTGTTTAATTCATAACAAGTACCTAGCCACAAAATCAGACCATTTAGACTGTTAACTGCGCACGTGAACCTCGTGTGTCAAAATTTTCATGGATAAAATTGAGAACTGCAAATTGATGATAAATTCTCCTTGTATCCCAAATTGTTGGTGGATTTGGGTTTGTTGAAGATTAGACCATCAAATTTTGGCCGAAGACTTTGGACATTTTATCATCTGAATGCATAACTAAATTTTATATTATGATTTACCAATCTCAAGAGTCAGTAGTGGTTTCAAGATTGGGAATTTTGATTCCGTTGCTGTCTTCATTCGGAGATATACTGAACATGGGATATACCATGACGATTCCATTCAATACCTTCATTCATTCCATTTCCAACCCAAAATCCACGCTCTTCACTGATGCAGTCATATTGTTGTGTTAAATGTAAAATCCGAAATTCTATCATTTCCCCATAATATCTTAACTACAAACAAATTTTGGAGTATAGAGAAATGGACATGAACTAAATGACTGGTTCTTTTGAATTCTGATTCTTGGTTAATGTACAGTATCTGATGAAAATGCGACCAAGGTTATAACTTGGAGACGAACAACGTCATCAAGGTCATCATCATCAAAGAATCCCACGGCTACAACGAAAGATGACAATGATGATAGCGGAAGTGATTTTATTGAGGAGTTCTGCATGATTTCTGGAAGTCACTCTTCCACATTGAATAGAATGTATGCTTGGGAGAGAAAGCTATATGATGAAGTGAAGGTAATTCCTTAAACATGTTGCAATAGTGAAATTTATACCATTTCTGATGCAGACAAAATGTGAGAATCCTTGGGGATACAACTATAATACTGGGAATTTGTGTGTTTGTGTGTGTATATATATATACATATACACACATCCTTTCAAATAGACCTTAGTGGTCTTATTTATACAATCTTAGTGCAAGTGGGAAATTTGAAAATTACCATAATAATAATAATACAAATTGAAGAGAACCTTTAAAATCTACCACACTAAAACACAAAAATCACCAATAATAATCCCTAAAATCATGTGTTTGATCCTTGAAATAAGAGAACTTGTCCAAAAATACTAATGCTGAAGGACTAAAATCCACGCTCTTCACTGATGCATTCATATTGTTGTGTTAAATGTAAAATCCGAAAGTCTATCATTTCCCCATAATATCTTAACTACAAACAAATTTTGGAGTATAGAGAAATGGACATGAACTAAATGACTGGTTCTTTTGAATTCTGATTCTTGGTTAATGTACAGTATCTGATCAAAATGCGACCAAGGTTATAACTTGGAGACGAACAACGTCATCAAGGTCATCATCATCAAAGAATCCCACGGCTACAACGAAAGATGACAATGATGATAGTGGAAGTGATTTTATTGAGGAGTTCTGCATGATTTCTGGAAGTCACTCTTCCACATTGGATAGAATGTATGCTTGGGAGAGAAAGCTATATGATGAAGTGAAGGTAATTCCTTAAACATGTTGCAATAGTGAAATTTATACCATTTCTGATGCAGACAAAATGTGAGAATCCTTGGGTATATATATATACACACATCCTTGTGTATATATATATACACACATCCTTTCAAATAGACCTTAGTGGTCTTATTTATACAATCTTAGTGCAAGAGGGAAATTTGAAAATTACCATATTAAAAATACAAATTGAAGAGAACCTTTAAAATCTACCACACTAAAACACAAAAATCACCAATAATAATCCCTAAAATCATGTGTTTGATCCTTGAAATAATAGAACTTGTCCAAAAATACTAATGCTGAAGGACGTTGCCAAAGTGTAGCTTAGAAGCCCGTTTCAGCTTGGAAAGGTGGAGTCACTCACCAAATCTGACTAATAAACTGGGCTAAAATATGCTTTGAATTAGAATTATCCCTAAAGACCATATAATCTCACATTTTGTGGGCTGCATCAAGTAAAAAAAAAATACTTCCCAATAGCTGGGTAGATAAATGAAAATAAAAATGCATATAGAACGACCAAATAATACTCAATCATCAAACAACCCCTAAGAAAAATAATTCCCTTTCTTTCTTTTTTGGTAAAGTAATGAATAAAAGTCTAATGTAAGAACAATATGACTTAAAAAAAGTAGTAGTAGTTAAAAAGAAAATAAAGGGGCAATAACGCCCTCTTGATAGAACATGAAAGAGTTTATTGCTCCTTTATTTTTTTTAATCTTTTTCAGTAACTCTGATACACTAAGATCCGGTCTTGTACATTTGTAGATGGAGCTTTGATAGAAGCTAGGTCTAGAGGGAAGTTATGAGAGCATTACATTCATGCATAACTTCCATACCAAGGTTGGCACAATTAATGATATCAACCCAAGTATTTTTATTATTTTGTTTTTACTTTGCTTTTACTATGAGTTACGTATTGAATTTCACCATTTGGGATTAGTTGGTTAACTAGATCCTTTCAGAACAAATTTCAGTTAACTAATTCCAATAATTTTCGATCTGTTTATTTGTTCTTCAAAGGCTAGCGAGTTTATCCGGAAGGAATACGATCGCAAGTGTGACAAGCTGCGGCATCAGTTTGCAAAGGATCTTAGCCCTCAAGTAATTGATAAAACTCGGGCAGTGGTGAGAGATCTCCATTCACGAATTAGAGTAGCACTTCATGCGGTAAATTCAATATCAAAGCGGATCGAGAAAATAAGGGATGAAGAGTTGCTACCACAAGTTATTGAACTTATTCAGGGGTGAGTTAAATTTATATTTCCTGATAGGCAACCTGATCACCTTAGTTTCACTTAGATATCTAGCCAAAAATCTGTCTCCTCAAGCTACATGGTATCATACTTAAACAGGTATCATACTAAAATAGTCACTCCATATGTTTGTATGTAGTACGGGATGATAATAGACAAAGATTTTAGCTTCTTTATATGGTGCACTTGACCATTGAATTGTTGCAGATTTACCCGGATGTGGAAATCCATGCTTGAGTGTCATCATTCGCAGTATATGACCATATCTCTAGCGTACCATGTGAAAAGCTTCACTGGAGCTCCTCGTGGAGAGACTCAGAAGCAGATTATGAATCAGCTGCAGGGCGAGGTGGAGTATTTTCGCCTGAGTTTTACTGATTGGATAAACCGATATGTGTCATATGTAGAAGCCCTCAACAGCTGGTTACAAAATTGCATCTTGCAACCACGGGAGCGATATAAAGGCAGACGAGCATTCTCCCCTCGTCGTGTTCTGGCACCCCCTATAATTGTTCTCTGCCGTGATTGGTCAGCCGGGATTAAATCTTTGCCAGCGAGAGAAGTCAGTAATGCAATCAAAGCTTTTCTATCCGATCTGCAACATTCAGTCGGACACATTGATATGCATAAAAATGAAGAAGCAGAGTGCAAAGATGATGGAAAAAAAGATGATGCGTCTAATTTAAGCTGCATGCAAACAAGTTTGACAAATGTTCTTGAAAGACTGACTAAATTCTCCGAGTCCTCTATGAAAATGTGTGAAGATATTCGTCAGAAATGTGAAGCAGCTCGAAATGCTTACGACAACTACAAAGCACCACCTAGATCCTTTAGCATTTGAAATCATTTGGAATTTTGTTTCTTGTTCTGAGTTTATAGTTTAAGTAGATACTGGTTTATTCGGGAGGGAAAGTTCTTTTATGAAGAAATAGGGAAGTATCTCAAAGTTTATTTTTTATATTGCAACTGAATTGGAACTTTCCTAGGTATCAATTGGATTATTTTCTTATCAAGATCCCTTTCTTGTCCGGTTTATATGAATAAGTAGTTACATAATAGTTTACATACAGATGAGGCATCGAAACGAGGGTGGGGAATTTTATTATATCTCACAACATCATGTGTATATAATTCATTATGTACATGTAGCACAATCGGGTGAATCTTGCTACATATACATCAAGATTTAAATAATGAATTATATAATGTCACATGACACTCCATCAACAACCTGAATGGAAGATCTTGTCTAAATCAGGGATGGAATTCTTATTGGCATATTATGGCATTGCTGGGGGGACCGAAAGTTGGATCAATTCAAGATGGTGCATTGACCATCCGAGGTTTTACTACAAGAAACAACTAGCAGAAATGCCAGTTGAAATATTCTCAAGAAATATTTCGTCCCTGCACTCGATGCCATCAAGTATTAATGGACATTTGTGTCCTAAGATACAATGTTCTTCAGAGATAAAAATAGCACGATCATAACCATGTCGGGCGAACTGCAATTTGAATGTACTCTTCTTGATCGGATGATTTTGAACACCGAAATCTCTTAAAATCTCAAAAACTAATTGTTGAATTTTAAACTGAAATACTACGAGAATTATTTTGAGAGAATAAATATAAAGAGAAGAATTAGAAATCAATATACTCAGATTGATTTGGGATGAAAGAATTGAAATGAAATGGGTTCAACTTATCGATTTCAATGTGTCTATTCTCAATTGGTGCACCTTTTGGCACAATTCGATCTAAGATCATTAGATATACCATTTTAAATTGGGACACCATCTAGTTGCCCACATTCTACAATATATGAAAGATTGCACCTTATCTGAAAGGCCATGATCTTCAACCAATCTTTAAGAGACGCGCCTATTCATCGTACACTTTGGAGACTTATTCCAACTTATATATAATTCTTAGTTAATTCCATTAAATTCCATCAAAGGGTACTATCGGATTGGAATCGTCTGCGCAAACGGAGAACTAGTTGCTACTAAATCTAAATCACTTTGATGTATGACTATATTAGAGGGTCTATAATTTGTAGTGGAATTCCCTAGATATAATGGTTGTGGAATCATATTGTAGCACTACGATAGAGTTCGTCACGTTCAGCCCTGACCCAAGGCCACCTAGGCAATGGCCTACGGCCTCAAGATTTAATGGCCTAAAAAATTAAAAATAAAAGCCTAACAAATTTTATCTTTATTTTTGAGTTGGATCCTCCATTCTTTTAAAGGAAAAAAATATATATAACTACTATACATCGAAGATATGCTTTCAAATTTAAGGAACTTGATTAAATTTTTCAAAAATCAGGTAGTCACAATTTGTGACATCTAATAAAATTTTGCGGAATAGAGTTTATCAACGTTGTATGGTTAAAAGGAAAAATTTCAACAAATAGAATTCACATGAAAAAGACCAATTAATTGATTAAAAAAAAATATTTTTTAAGTCTATTCATTATTGAATAAAAAAGAAACCTATATTTAATCAAATTGATCAAAGACACAATAAAGACATAATTTATGATCACTATCACGTACTAATCATAAATCATACAAAGTCACAGTAACAGTTTATGGGTCACTATTACGTATTTAGTTGCAAATTACACAACACAAATTATTTGTTGGTCATAAATTATTTAATTAACTGGTCATAATCATTCTTCATCTCATCCAACCCACTCCACCATCTTCGACGCAACCATAAATCCACCACCACCACTATCACCATCTCCAACTCACTTGTAACCTTAGATCCACAACCACCACATCAACAGTTAACACATTGTCACCATCACCATCTTCACCTGAAAAAAACATCGGACTCTGATAAATCGTCGTTCAACAACGCGATAGAGAAAGAAGACGCAGCAACAATATAGTAAGCCATGAAGCTGTTGTAAACAACGCTACTCCATCGTAGCAATGGCCTCACAAACTCTGGGGCAATAGGCAGCGCCCAAAATGGTCGGATACTCTAAAGGTTTCGCCATGATAAGACCAACAGAAGGGTACGAGCACTTTGTGTACGATCATTTTCGACTGCGATACTCCTCTTGGTGGCAGAGGCGGACTCTCTAAAGGTTTCGAAATGATAAGATCAACAGAAGGGTACGAGCAATTTGTGTACGATCATTTTCGACTGCGATACTCCTCTTGGTGGTGGCTGCCGACAAACATGTGAGGTTGGGATTGTGAAGAGAAGGAAGTGGTTGTTGGTCGCGGCGGCCGGTGAACTTGACACCCATCCTCTAGACTACGATACTCCTCCCCTTAGTGGTGGTGGCCAACGAATTTGGAGGGTTATGATTGGCGATGTTTAGTTTAGGGGTTTGTGTAGAAATGGGGTTAGGGTTTCTACAATAGGAGTTAAAAAACAAGTTTGGGTGTAATTTCCGTCATTACAAAATCACAAGATGAGACAAAGTAAGAGAAATTTGGCGTAGACCATTGGAGAGAAAAAAATCAAATTACACCAAATTCGACATAAAATTAAATCAACTTTGGTGTAAATCATTGGAGATGGTCTAATAATTTATCGTCTACAACCTCAAAATTCTTTCATGCCCCGATGATATTGTCCTCAGCAGTATCATAGACCTGATTCACTCTTTCCACGGGCTCAAGTTCACACTAGCTAGTCTGGAAGCAAATCATGTAGACCATGTCCTGGCTAAGGAGGCTTTTGTTCATTTCCAGAATAGTATATGGATAAAGCATAACCCATAATTCCATTATATTATTATAAAATTATTTATTCTTAAATCCTGTAATAAAAGTCGTAATAAAATTATTTTTTAGTTATGGACTAATATCAAACCAGTTCAAGAATTTTTTGTATTATTTATCAAGAAGAACTTGATAATGTAGAAGACTTGAAAATTTAGTTAACAGATTTAATTCAATAATTTTATGTCTTTAACTTATTGTTCAAGTTGTAAATTGCCCCAATTTATAAAAATGAGCAAGTTGGTCATTATCTTTTTATTTAGTCATAACGATTTCCATCTGATAGTTTATTGAAAATCACCTTTTTAGTATAAAGATGGTTATCTCTTAGAAGTTAGAATTGATAATTTCAAAATGCCCAATTACTGTATGAAAGTCTATTTAAAGCCAATTCTTTTACTGAAAAGGCGATTGTCTCTTATTTTCAATGTGCCTCGACTTTAATTCCGTTAGTGTTGATAATTTCATTGCACAAACCCCGACTAAAAGTTTGATAAATGTCTCCTTTTTCCCTAAATAACTATGATCTCTCATTTTTAATGCACCTCACCTCAAGTTTCTACTAGTACCGATAATTTCAATGTATTATTTCTGTCTAAAAGTTCATTAAAAGTCATTTTTTTTTATAAAAAGGCGATCATCTCTCATTTTTAATGCGCCTTGACTCGAGTTTTTGCAAGTACTGATAATTTTGATGCACAATTTCTGTTACTCCCCCCATATATGAGGTCCTAGATCGGACGCCACATAAGCAAAAAGGCCCACGTGGGACCAGATGCCAACTGCAAATTGTTAGTAAGTCAAAACAAACCCAATAGGTCAGACACACCTACAAAGACAAGTAGGCCAAGGTCCTCACACACAAATACCTGAAGTTATCACACCGCAACGAAGTCCGACTTGAAGCATCTCATCAAAGATGAGGCCCAAACTCATCTGAGGCTCTCTCAACTTGTTCGAGGTTCACAAAGCCGACGCTATCCCTTATAAATTTATAATTGATTTGAAGATCTCTTAGAAGCGATTGATGTGATATTTGTAATAAAGTGTGACAGAATATCAGTATGTCAGCTTATTGTATAGAGCGGCTGACCTCTTGTTAATATATTAAATGCACGAAGGGACAATGATATGACGTTCCAATAAGGGAGATGAAGCTGCGTGGTTATGATCCAACGATCACCATGTCGGCTATGATGGTATAAATAGATGCTCTATGTAACTTAGAAGGGGATTCGATAATCATATATTCACAATATACACTTCAATTCTTAAAGAAAAACATGTGAACATTTTATGTATCCTTCCACATACTCCTATTTGGCTATTACATAGATCAGTTTAATTTCCGTCCGGCAACCGTTGTTAGCGTGGTTGCTCTTGTTCTACTCGCCGGAACTTGAACATTTTTGTGTCTCACTGCAAAGTACCTCCCGCTTCCATCTTCTCCAAGCTATCGCTCCATTTTCGGTAGAAACGCGCTGGATCCGTACTTGACATGTCAAGAGTGGATCCGACATCTGTTCAGTTCATTTTTTAGGGTCAAAAATTTCCATACAAAAGTTCATTCAAATCACTTTTTTTCCCTTAAAAGGCTATTATCTCTCATGTTTAACTAACCTTGACTTGAGTTTTTGCTAGTACCGATAATTTTATTGCACAATTTCCATCAAAAATTTTATTAAAAGTGACCTTTTTCCTTAAAAGACGTCTCTCTCTCTCTCTCTCATTTTTTATGCTTGTTTACCCGAATTCCTGCTATAGTATTGACTCAATTAAGTAAGGTGACGAGGGCTTTAAATTTGGCATCTTCTCCCTCTATGCCTCCCCCACCAACCCCACTCCAACCACATCTCGCTCCCTACAACTCCGTCTGCGGCCCCAGTCACCAGAAAGCACAACAGTTTTGCTATATTGCCAGACAACTTTGACACATTCTTCGACAGAACGTGGCATTCGGTCATTCACCTGTTTGAAAAACACAACAATTTTTGGCACCAATGAAAACCCGCCAACACTGCTTCTGTCAAAGGGTGGGCGCCAAATTCTTGTCAAAACAGCTAAATTCTTTATTGAAGGTTTTGATCCC